GCCCCTTGCAGACTCTTGGAGCCCCATGGAGCATATTGGCTGCTGAGAAAAGTTAGGAAATTCGCTCTTCAAGGCTGTCATGATAAACCTGGACCAGGACCTGGACTGTGATGTCCTTGGGCATCTTGGTCACCCCTCACCTCTGCTGTTTTTCAGCATCACCATTCCTGTGCAGACCTTCTCCAACTTGCAGATCCGAGGTCAGTAGAGCAGAGCTGAGTGGCCAGGGTATTCGATTAATGGCCCCTCCCCCAGGCCTGTGAGCTGCTGCTCTGGCCTGGGGCTGAGAACCTGGGTAAAAGGGTTCACGGCTCTCCTTGAGGGCCTCCAAAGTTCACCACAGAGTTTCTCGCTAGAGCAAACTATCCCAGGGCATTTCAGGTGGGGCTTGCAGCCACTCCTGTCTTGCTCTTCCCTGTGTCCTACTTCCATCCCTGCACCCCATTCCCTACAGAATTGGGTGAGGGGCTCAGCCTCTGTCCTGTCTGCAGATCCCTGAACAAGCTCTGCCCATCTGAGTGTTTTATGTTTTTGTTTTTTTAACTGCTTGTCACTACAGGGGGCAAAAGCACCAAAGAAGGGGAAGGTCACAAGGTCACAAGACATCTCAAAAGCCTCACAGTACAAGTTATACCAATTCAGGCTCACCAGATTGTAAATGGAGCCCCGCCGGCTCTAGGTTAGCTGCCTTCCTCTCAGACACAGTGCTTTTCTCCGCTTGGTAGGAAGGGAGCCTCACCAAGTCCATGTTCCCCATCCTCTTGGGCTCCCTCCTCCCAGGTTTCCCTAAAGGGCCAGCCTGTGTCATCTTCCCAGCAATGTGAGTGCCCAACCCAGGACCTGGCACAGACAGGGTAAATGTAGGTTAAACTAGCAGAGCTGGCTGGTGTTCAGGGTAATATATGCTCAGATGAGATGCTCTGGGGCCTCTGAGCAAATGCCAGCCTCTGCCTCACCTCTTCCCTGTCACTGAGAGGGCCCCTAGGGTCTCACTGCCCAGTGGCCAGGCTCTTTGCTTGTTTTGTCTTTCCCCACAGCTCCGTTTTTCAGCTTGATGCTGATTCAGCCCAGAGGATTATTTCCCCCTGGACTGCTGCTCTTGTAGTGTATAAAGTTTTATGTTCCCTGCTCTTAATTTTAAATATTAGTGAGTGTGACATGTTATATTTTTCTCTCTGAGGGGGGGAAGCTAAATTACTTCTTATTTGTATGTGGCCCTCAGATGATTCTCAGCTATGGGGAAAAATTCTTCTGGGCTAGAAACACAGGAATACTAGATATGTGTGTCTCAGGGTTTAGTTTAGCATCAGAAAGGTTAACCAGGGGGACCAGCTAGAGGTAATATGCCAAGTCCCTGGGTCATTATGGCCCAGAGGCTTGGCAGAGAGAAGTAGAAAAGGGGAAAAGTGACAGGAAAGGGACCCACATGTATTGAGCCAATCGCTTAACATACATTATTTCAGTTAACTGACTGCACTCCCACCTAGAGAAGTAAGCACCATCATCCCTGTTTTGCAGATGAGGAAGCTGAGGCTGGGAGAGGTAAATTAACTTGCCCACAGTTGTGTGGCTGGTTAGTGGCTGAGCTGGGGCTCGAGCTGTGCCCTGCCTGATTTCAAAGCCCACGTGCTCCTTCCTTGGCACAGTGCTGGGTTGTCAGAAAGCCAGGTGCACCTGGCCAGCATGGCTCAGCGGTTGAGCATTAACCTATGATCCAAGGGATCTCGGTTTGATTCCCGGTCAGGGCACATGCCCAGATTGCAGGCTCGATCCCCAGTGTGGGGCATGCAGGAGGCAGCTGATCAATGAGTCATTATTGCTGTTTCTATCTCTCTCTTCCTCTCCCTTCCTCTCTCTAAAATCAATAAAGATTTTTTTTTTTAAAAAGAAAAAGAAAAGAACACCAGGTGCCAGGCAAGGGCTTACAGAGGGACTGAAATGCAGCCGGGCCAGGAGAGCAAGCGGGCAGTGGACGGAGCAGCCAGGACTTGCCCAACTCAGTGGGGACTTGGGGGTTGCCAGCCCCCTTGGAAGAGCCTAGGCCCTCCCTGCCTGGTTGGATAGGCTATTGTCCTCATGATTTGGGTGTGACAGGAAGCCAGCAGTGGCTGAGGATGTCTAGTGCCCTGAGTGCCCACAGAAGGCCTCTCCTCACATTTACAGAAACTAGCCTGGACACCAAGTCTGTGTCAGAAGGCCACCTCAAGAGGAACATCGTGGTAAAGACTGTGGAGATGCGGGACGGAGAGGTGAGGAGAGCAGACCTGAGATTCTGGCCCCATCAGGCTCTGGCTGCCCCCAGGAATTCTTGAGGCCAGGCTCTGGAATAAAGCCTGAACTGGCACATAGAAGGTTCTTGAGAACTCGCAAGGGCTCCGCAGGGAGGTTCTGAAAGAGGGGAAGGAACCTGGATGTAATTCAATTTCCCAGCCCCTCCACTGGCAGTTCTAAGGGGAGCCTGGGTGACTAGACCACTGGATGGGATCCTGACTCAGGCTTTCTCCCTTTCTCACCCTGACTCAGGTATCCCCAGCGCCAGACGTGGGGGAGAGAGAAAGAAAATTCAAGTTAGCAGTTTTCACTCCCAACTTTCCATTTCCAGCTTGTTTAAAGGAATCTTCCAGAGAGGAGTGGGAAAAGGGATTTGGCATAACCCACTCCCCATCACACCAGCAACAGTACTAGCTAATTTCACACCATCAGCTCACCATGTGCTTGGCATAGTGCTAAATGATTTACAGGTGTGATCTCATCCCCCCCCTGACTGCTGCATGAGGGGATTCTGGTCGCTTTCATAGAAAAGAAAGACCCAGGAAGGTTGAACACTTGCCCAAGGTCATGTAGCCTGGCAGTGATGGACCCAGGGTCTGGGTGAGCTCCTAACTGTGGCACTGTGCACCTTCTCTGCCCCCTGCAGGTCATTAAGGAGTCCAAGCAGGAACACAAGGATGTGATGTGAGGAGGGAACCACCTGGTGGCCCTGTCCATACCCAGAGGGGTCTGCAGCAGGAAACAGGATAGTTGTCCCTCCTCTGATAGCTAATTTCCCCAGACCTGAATTCCCACCCCCACCCCCACCGCAGCTGCTCCTCTCCCCACTCCATCTCTATGCCAGCTTCTGCCCTAGGCTCGATCAGCATTAGGCCTGCTAGACAGCACCCACCGCACTCCCAGGAACTCCTCCTAACAGAGCACTGACCCCAAAGGGACAGCCTGGAGGGGCATGGCAAGAAGCTTGGGTTAGAATTGGGAGGAAAGAGAGAAGTTGGGGAGGGCCTGGAGACCTAATAAATCACCCTCCATGGCCTAATCCCTGTTGTCATGGCAACTGTTGCCAGAGCTGGAGGTCTCTGGGCTATCTGGGAAGTGGGCCTTTGAGTTTCCTCAGGCTGCTGGAGGAAAACCGAGACTCTGAGACAGGAAGGGGAAGTCTCTGCACGCAAGGTGGCCCTGGCCAGAGGCTCATTCTTAATCTAAACGGACCCTGCCCAGTCTGAAAGCAGGCGAGGGTATCCTGCCACCTGGAGTCATCAGCAGACAGAATTCCTGGCCTGCCGATTCCAGAGGGGCCTCCTGAGTGATGATTCAAGCACCTTGGCCTCACTGAGCTGCCACGTGGGCAGGTGGGAGCTTGATTCTCAGCACTAGGGGATCTTCGTATAAGTGGAGAGAGAAGTGATGCTAGGAAGTAGAGGGGACTGCCTGGCCCCTAGATGTCAGTACGTAGAGGTCAAGTCCAGGAGGACTTTCCCCATATAGGCTGGGGGAGGGAGGCAGGTAGAGACGGAGGAGACAGTGGGATGATGCTAGACATCAGAGTTGGGGTTGTGGATGGACCAGTTACACTTGGCATCTGGGTCATGAGAATCAAGGAAGTGACTCGTCCTCTTGAAGATACTGAAATAGGAAAGGGGCTGCTGACCACAAGAGCAGGACACATTTTGTCCCAGTTCCAAAGGCCCCTTTCTGCTGCATAATTCCCATCCACCCAAAGCCTCTGAGCCCCTGCAGCCGCTGTCTCCCAACCCCAGCAAATACAGCTGGGTGAAGCCAACACAATACACCTGCCTTTCTGCACCCCACAGTCACCTGATGCTTTTCCCTAAACTGAGGGCCCTGTGGTCCCCTCTTACTCAAATACAAAATGTACCCCAGTATTTTAGCTAGCCCTCTATTTTGTAATTCCGAAAATTGAGGCATGAGCAGAGTGAAGCCCCTGGTTTGTGTTCCTACGGCCTGGACAGGAGAGTGGGGAGGGGCAGAGACACTTCCACCCAGAGCATCTGCTCTGCTTCCCACAGGAAGACTGTGGGGGGCATGGGGTTATCTGTGCCCAGAAATGGGACCGAGAGGACCAACTCCAGGGTGCCCCTCTTCCCTCTAAGGCCAAAGGGAGTGAGAAATAGGAATCCCTCTTTCCAAGACTTGGTGCCCTTTCTCTGACCGCCTCCTGCCACCCACTGATGCCTTTAGTTACTGAGGTAAATAAAGCCAATTGCTGTGGCCTCCTCCAGAGTGGACTCTGATCTGTTCAGAAGAAGCTGGGGCTGGGGGAAGAGGGCAGCCTTGGACAAGACACAACTTGCTTCTTGTCACTGATCAACTCTGGAGCTCAACCCCTCATAGCAGCAGCCACATGACAAGTCCCACCTCCAACCCTGCTCTCCCATAGCAGTCCTGGTGCTTCCACTCCACCCCCTGGGGCCTTTGCTCCCAGCCCCTCTTCTTACCCCCAACCCCCAGCACAGGTGCAGTCTCTCAGAAAAGCCCTGAATTAACCTCCATTTTCCTCACCCATTTCCTCTCTTCTAGTCTTTACCTTTATTCCCAAACCTGCCATTTCTACCAGCCAGTCCCAGGACCAGGCTGGGAGGAAGGCAGAGAAGACATACAAGAGGCCCGCCCACTCTTTTCTTCCTTCCTCTCCCTGCTATCCCCAATTCAACCAGCACCCATTTGGCAATCTTCGAAGGCAAGAAAATAAAGCACCACAAACACTGTTCAATACCAAATAGGCCATTTAATAAATATTAGGTTCCCTTCTTCCGAATTCTCTCATCTGATGAAGTCAGAAGACATGTGCGCCTTGGCTACTCCATCATAGCCTCAGTCCCCATCTCCCACCTGCCTCAGGCCTCCCCACTTCCCAGATCAGTGTCCATGAAAATGGGGAGCAGGTCGTAACTAACAAATTTGTCCACACCCCCTTGCCACATGTTCTAGTTCGGGAGGCCCACCATCCTGAACAAACACACTTGAGCACAACTGGTCTTCAGAGAAAGGGAAGAGAGCCTAGGGAGAGAAGTTGGGACAAAAGCGAAATAAGTAACAGCAGCAGCGACAAAGGTGAAAGATGACAAAGACTGCAGTGATGAGCAGGTACCCGATCAGGGTGAGCTCCAAGGCGGAGCGGACCTCGGGGTCCGAGAGTGAGACCTTGTAGCGCCCTTGAGATGTCACTCCCAGTCGGAACCCAGCGACCCGCTCTCCCTGCCGCCAGCAATAATAGATGCCCCTGTCGTCGAGCTGCGTAAAGCGGATGTGGAGATGGTTGCCATAGTCGATGAATACCCTCATGGACCTATTGACACCCTGCAGGTACCTTGTGCGATAGAAGCGCTTGCGGTCCTTGTCCCAAGCCACAGCATGTTCGGGCCGGGCCCCAGGACAGGAGATGATGAGTCTGTGACCCGGCTTCTGTTGGTGGTACTGAATGGGCACCTGGGGCACCCAGGGCCGTTTGCCCACTTTGGACACATAGTTTACAATGGACATCACGCTGTTCAAGGTCATGCTCTTATTCTTACAGGGTACCATGCAGCTCTGAATCTGCAGCTCGGGTGTGTGGTCTCTGGCCTTGGCCTGAAGGTCTTTTGGCGCAGCCTGTGAACCACAGGACACCACGTCCTCAAGGGTTTTGTGGTAGCGTGGGGAGAGGTCTGGACTCTGCAGATAGCAGAGGCCAATGCGCCACTGCTCCCCACGCACCCCGCAGCGGTCACAGGGGGTCCACTCCCAGAAGGTGGTGAAGACATGGAGTTTCCCACGGTACTCGTCGACAAAGGGCTCTTGGCCCAGGTCCTTGAAGGTGGCCACCATTCCCTTACTACTCTGGATGTCCACATCGTAGGCATAAAAGTAGTCCCCCTTGCGAGTGCCACAGAAATACAAACCTGAGTCCTCGGGCTGGGCCCGGAAAACCAACAGGCTGAACATGCGAATGCTGAAGCGGACCAGCAGGTCACTGCCCGCCCGTACCTGGGATGCCTCTGTCAGCAAACGTCCATCAAAGTCCGTGAGCACTTTGGTGTGGCTGCTACTGATAGACTCCTGATAGTACCACACTACAGCAGACACCTCCTCGGGCTTACAGTGGCAGGGCAGCTCGAAGCTCATGTCGGCCAGGTAGGCTGCATTGTCGAACGTCAGGAAAGAAGGGCACGGGGTCCTCAGAAAAATGTTCTCCTTCTCCACAATTTCAAAGGCCTGGAGACTCCCCCATGCCCACAGCAGCACAATAGTGTGGGCCGGGTTCATGCCTGAAGGAGGGAAGGGGTCAGAAGGGCCAAGGAAAAACCAAGGCACTTAAAGGCCTATGGGGCTGCTAGAAATCACTGCCAGAGGAGGCATCTTTATGAGGAAAGGAGCAGCCAAGGAGCAACGATCTGCGGGGCAAGCGGCCAAAGGCAAGGCAATTTATTCCCAGCTGATGTACACGATGCCTGTCTAATGTGTCAGATGTGATCTCAAGGAAAAACCATTCTAGAACCTGGCCCTCTCTCTCCTTTCTAGAACACTGGCACTTGCCCAAGAATGGCTCAGAAGAAACTGGAATGAGAAGCAAGGGCATAGGAGCTAGACAGGGAAATCTCTGCCGTCCTGCTCCAGGCCTTGTCCTGCCTGTCTGGTGGAAAGGTCTTCCCTTTGGTTAATCCAGGAGTTGAAGGAAACCCACCAGCTTCACATCAGGCCACCTGAAGAAGCCTGGGAGGCTCGTCAGACCTAAATTGATGGCTTGGGGCTTTCCCAGACCCAACCTGCACAGGAACTCAGCCCCTGGAGGAAAATACTATACTTCAAATGAGGTAGCATTTGGCCATTTGTCATTTAAATGTCCATTCACTAGTTTTATGTTATAAATATTCTTGTTAAAAGCTATGGAGATCAGTATTTCTTTATTGTGGAAGAGTAAGGATTTTGTTTTTTCCTTTTGGGTGGGGCTGTAACTGGCATAGCCATTTGGATGGGCACATGCCCATCTTTCAGGGCTATGGGCCACAGGTTTGACAGATTTTGAGGGTAGGAAGCAAAGCTTTTTTCTTTCTTTTTTAATCCTCACCTGACGATATTTTTCCCATTGCTTTCCAGAGAGAGTGGGGGGGGGGGAGAGAGAGAGAGAGAGAGAGAGAGAGAGAGAGAGAG